TCCTGCTGATACAGGGAAATGAATAGGCTCCTCACAAGGTTGGACAAGCCAGAGACAGTGCAGAGGAAGAGGAAGGAGAAAACTTCTGGTGGAAGTCAAAGGAAGAGCAGAACTGTCCTCTTTTGGCAGCAGCAAGCTGTTAGGTCAGCTTGGCCCCTCTCAGACTTTGGAGGGATGTTCAGTGAATTTCTGTCTGCCTGTTTATCAATTTTTCTTTCCTTGAATGTACAGAATTCACTACTTCAAAATTAGTATGACTTTTTCAAAATATTCCTTTTTTAGCTAATGTTTGGATGACCTCTATTAACCAAAATACGTAGGTATCTGGAGTGTTTCGTGTTGGCAGTGTGAGACCTGCATTTTCCACTTGGCGTTTGTCATGTATTTGCGAAGTTGTTTCAATTATTCAGCTGTGAAGCAGGAAAGAAACCATGGGATTTGAGTGTGCAAATAGCAGCACTGGAAGCTACATGACTGATCCAGAAACTGCCGCTGTTCACCTCTAATAACTGTCAAATGTTTTTTGAGTTCTGAATGTATTTGCCAAAAAAACGAGATTGGTCCTTGAGTGACTTGAAAAGCCAACCTCTCATTGCTCTCTGAATCCATTTGGTTTTATAGACACGGAACATAATGCCAGTAGCTCTTTTGGGAAGTTTGTTCAGTTGTTTTGGTCAATTTTCAAGTACATTTTATGTGTCTGGATTTTTAAGTCATTATTTTATTATTTTAGTTCCCTGGTCAGTGAGGCCAGAAAAGCTGAGAAGAAAGGATTTTTTTAGAAGCAAAAAGTTGTCAGATTCATATCTGACTTTGATTCATCTCAAGGATGAAATATTTACAATGTAAAAATGTGAGTAATGTTTAAACCTTTTGATACCACTATCCAAATGTGATGCAAATGCTAAAACCGCTAGCATTGAAAAGGGCGTATATATCAGTATGTAGATGTTTTTGTAGCAGATGATAATGTCAGTAGTGTGGAGTTAGACAGCAACTGAAAACCCAGTAACACACTCAAAAATACCTAGATAGAGTTATGTGTCTGCCTCTGCTTGCATTCACTGCATCTGTGGGCAGCAGATAAATCAGCGTGTAGTTAGCGAACACTCACCTCTTCCAGTCTCCACCGGTTTATCAGCCTTAAGTAGGCACCAGGGTGTCCTGTAAATCTTTAACACAGGAATATACATCAACTATGTTGTGTAAGAAGTCTGTTCACAGTAGCAGAAGAAAGCTCATACTGTTTTAATCTAATGTCATCTTAACATGATTGATATAACTATAAAAGATATTACGCTGCAAAAAGTTTTGGGGGATTCCTGGAATAATATCTATGAAGTAATACATTTCAACACCAAATACTCTGCTGTTGGATATTCAGCATATGCAGAGAACAGAGAAAATCTGAATGAAACTGTTCATGTCAGTTTGGAAAATGGCTTTGAACTGCCAGTCCATTTCCTTACACCATAATGTGGACTGTGACATCTGCCTTTCTGTGAAATCAGTGAAAATGTTAGTTTTCATTAGGAAAACATAATTCTCTTACTATTCGCCTATGTTTTCTCCCAGAATGATTCCTGCAACTTCCCACATGCAAATGATCCATACTGATGGATTCTTCTACTCAAGCCTTCTCTACTCAAAGGCTCTTTTGCTTTTAGGGGACTTGCAGAAAGAGACATACAAATATATATATATATATATTTCATTTTCTGTGGAAAAAAACCCAACTGATAGTTAGATATAGATAGAACTCATAATTCATTCTTAACAGCCCAAATCATATAATAGAAGCAGCAAAGTATTCAGCCAGTTGGACTAGACAATCATTGTAGGCCCCTTCCAATTATTCTATTCTATTCTATTCTATTCTATTCTATTCTATTCTATTCTATTCTATTCTGAAAGAAAAAGACACAGTGTTATTTACTTACCTGTACAAATTACACACATAAAGACAGAGCGAAGTGACCTGCATGTATAGTACTGTGGGACGCATCGGTTCCCAGTAGTGAAATTGTTAAAAGTTAGCACTGAGCCCATGTGGTGCTAGGAAATGAAAACTATGTCTGTTTCCGGGCTTCTGAATGGAAAATAAAACTGCAATCTGTCCTGCTTTGCTAGTATGGAATTTGCATTTTGAGATGCATGATAATGTGGTCCCATTTTGTTTCATTACAGACAATTTTATTTCTTCTCTGTACTTCATTTTGCACATATGAGGGTGCAGATATCAATCCTACCTTCCAAGGAAGAATGCTATATAAAAGGTAGAGCTGTTCAGATTGACAAACTGAAAAAGAAACATTTTCAGAGTGAAGCTGTTCTCCCACTCAGATTCGGTACGAGGCTGCTCTGTGAAGAAAAAGAGCACAGTTTCAGAGGTTTAATCAGATTAACAATTTCCCTTGGCACAAAGGCTGCACACACCTATTAGAGCTGGCAATGTATGTGTAAATTAGCCTGCTGATTTCAAAATATAAGTTGAAAGAAGAAATTTTATCCAAAAGCAGCACACAGCAAGGGAGCTTGTAAAGACTTAGAAATCTTTTCTGATATCTGGATATGTATATTCCCAGGAGACTGTAAGAAAGTGATTGAGGTAATGTGTATATTGAACATCCCTCCTGGATTCCTGTGTGCTTTACAGGGTCTTCTCTTGTTTTCTTTTCTGAAACCTACCATAATGACATTGCCAGAAAGCACCCCACTGCAAGATATGTAAGCGCCTTTTTGTTAGAGATGTCACACTGAACTGGAGCAAATCCTCCTTGCAATTCTATTTCATGGATTTGCCCACCACCATTTGGTGCCTAAGGACTCTACACGGGTATCAGTGGAGTGCCACTGCATGACTCCCCTTCCTTGTCCCAGGGAGCTCATCACAGAAGACTGAGAAAAAATATTTTGCAATGGATGGCGTAAGGCAAATGGGAAAGGGGAAGACATATTCTTTCCTTCAGGTAGGCCCTTAATCTCCATCTAAAGAGATATTGAGACAGAAGTTAGCAAAACAACTTCTATGCCAACACACCAGTACCATGTCCTGGAATTACTTTCCAGTTGTCAGGAGCTTGTTATTAGTCAACCATTGCTGTGAACAGGAGTAATCAGAGGAGAAGTGGAGGTACTAATGGTGATTCTGAGTATCATAATGGTAGTACTCAAGGAGTCTCCAGTGAAGTACTGGAAGTATAGAAACAACAACAATAAACTAGATTATCTTTAATTAGAGCTGCCCTACCCATGAGGAAATTTCAAATAGATGCATCAACAAAACCATAAAACAGACCATAAAGTAGCAACTGTGTTAGTGATTTGGAAATGCCTGTCAAGAAACCCAAGTTTGTGTGTATGCCAGTACATACATATTTAGCTAAGCAGAAAGAAATAAACCATCATAGATTTTTGGTGCCAGTCTGTGGGAAGGACAAGTTTAACTTTAACAAGGCTTCTGCAGCTGAAGCTTTGCCCATATACCCATCAGAGACAATGGCAATGCTCTGGAGGAGCATGGATGTGAGCTCTGAACAAGGTCAGGTATAGACTGAAGGACATCCTGAATGTAGCTTTGCTGCCAATACCACTCTGAGCTTTTTACACCGATAAAGATTGTTCAAACCAAATCAGCTACTTAGGCCATCAAAGTAAAAACCACAAAACAGTCTGAACACTGTCAGAACAGCTTGAACCACTGAGTTTTCATACAAGTGCTTTCTGTACAGGCTACAAGAAGCAGACCTACCTTGATGATAACCTGGCAGAAAGTAATCAAGCTTCAAGGTCTCTAGACTGTATCTTACTGTCCCCAGGGTGTCACAGGGACTAAAAGGGCATAGCTTGTGCAAATCACATACTTGACAGTCATATTTCTCAACTGTAACTAGCAGGTATCTTTTCCATGGATACAGGATGGCAAAAATATTTTAAATTTACAGCATACAAATGAGGACTCTCACTCTAATAAGAAACAACAGAATAAAATGCTATCTTCCACAGATGTGCTTTGAGCACATCATCTGTGTCTTCCCAGATGTAGAAAAGCCCTGACACTAGCTAAAATAAGCTGTGTGTTTCCTCCGAGAAGACACCAAAATCTGTGCACCTGGTCCAAAATACCTTACTGAACATCATCAATGTACAAAGATATGCAGAAGCTCAAAATAATGTCCTCAAACCACTTCTACACAAGCCATAATATGGTTCATTTAAAGGCCTTCAGCAAGTCTGTTTTCAGGCTTCTTGACACTACGGCCAATTGCCAATTGCCACCAACTATTGCAGTCTTCCAGCATGATCGAGATCGCCAGAGACTGTGCCTGAGCCATGGATATATGAATGATAGCCTATTGCTACCCCAGTGCCAGTACATGCTGTCCTTAGAAAACATGTTGTCCTTACTCTAGCATAAAGATCGCTTTATGGGTGAGCTGTAAAGATTACAGAAACTTAGAACACCATTAGAGTTTAGGTGTTGGTAGAGTTGATGAGTCACGTAGTTATTTTCCCTCCAAATTACTGCCCCTCTTAAAGGCATGCATATATTTGATAGTCAATAAGCACCTTAGTTTCAAGCTATAAATTTGGCTTCCAGAAGTGACTCCCCCATTTCCAGGTCTTCACAAAACCTGGGGGTTGCGAGTGCTCAGTCTGTCTGAAAAGTCATGCTTTTTTTGCCAAGGTAACACTTTGTTTAAGTTCTTACAAGGTAAGGGATTGGAACAAGAACGAAGCATGACAGGTGGGTGACTGTTGCCACCACTGATTGAATGGCACTATAGCTTAGTTTATATACTCTTCTTTTATAAACTTAAGAAAAACATTAATTCTTATAGATTTCAAATTAATCAGGATTTTTCATATTTATACAGACAGTTTGAATGCTATCACAGTATAGGGACAAAAAAATCAGTACAATATCATTCAATTTTGTATTTAACATTGCTTACCTAAATTTGTCAGGAAAAGAGCAACCTTTTCATACAGCTGGAACAGAGAAGAAACAGCCTCTTAGATACATGACCAACTCAAAAATGTAGAACTGCTCTCTAAGTAGAGTAACTCCGCTTACATGCTAAATCTGACATCCAGATGGTGTCTGTGATGTTTGGGTAATGATGAAAATAAAACTGTACAGTAATAATACAATAATGATACAATAAAACAAGGAGCAGTAATATTTTTAAAGCTTATACTCAGCTCTTTTCGTCCACAATACATGGAGGAAAAAATGCTGTCACTGTCCCTATTTCACACACGCAATGAAAAAGGGTCAGATAACTTTTCCACAAACACAAAGCAGAACAATAGCACAAATGGGATTTCTGTTTTAGTTACTTATGGAACACTTATCTCACAAAAAAAAAAAAATCACCCTAGTAAGAGCATACACTGGTATGTTGGGTATTTTGGGCTTTTTGGTTTTGTCTGGGATTTTTGGGTGCTGAAAGGAAAGACACTGGGGAGACAGGGCTGCTTCAGAGAGTCATTAGTAGTCCCCCCCACCAGCCTCATTTCTTACTCTGAGTCAGTGACATTGTTCTAAATCCTAAGTGGTACCTTCTGCACTTAGCAGATACCATGCTTTCAAACTCATTCTCTGGGAGACTGCTAACTTCATAAAGCTTACAAAAACTAACTTAGAGAATTTTCACAATTAGTATTTGCAAAGGGGTTTTGAACCTATAAAGTACCTCACCACCAACATCAGTATTAGTGTAAATTAATACAATGATTTCCATTTGCTTTAAATTAGTCTGGAGTCTGTTCCCACAAAACACTAAATGTCCTTAACTCTCACTACAGGGATTCAAAGCTCCTCATATTTCAGGCTTAAGTACTTACTTATTCCTAAATTGCATATCAGCAGCGTTTCTTTTCATTTGCAGTTATCCTTATAAACTCTTGATTAAATTGAGTTATGTACAATTTACAGATCAAACTGCCTGCTTAAGAACTGAAGTCATCCTGAATTATCTCATCCATGTTAACAACCACTTCTTGTTTAGAATAGCTTTTTGCTGCCTTTGGAGTAACCAGTTTTGTTTCAAGTAATGAAAAGGTGGTTTCTTCTAGGTTTAAAGGCACCTCTTAAGGGCAACAGTAAAAGTGCTAAATGTCTGGGTGGTTTATATTCTGATGCCAGCAAGGAGTGTGCTATTTTATAAATGTACATGGCTCTGCAGAAGGGGGTATCAAAACTATTTTGTTGCTATTCCTTCTGGAACAGTAAGACTGTGTTAGAGATTCTGTTAACAATGTTTGGATCTAAGTATCTGCTACTGCAGTTTATCACTACCAGTCCCAAGGGGCCTTGTTTAGGATCATATGCTGTTCTGTGTTCATATTTTCTATGGGTGATATCACTGGAATTAACAGGTTTTATTAACCTAGGTAAAGCTAATGATTGTTCCCAGGTCAGGCTGCAGGGTTATCTGGGAGACTTTATGCTTGAAGGCAATTTCATTTTGTCATGATGAATGTGTCAGTGTACGTACCTAGCTCTCAGAGCATCCAGTCTAGAAGTTACTTGTGGTCTAGACCTTTCCCCTGATGCTTAGAGAGGTTGTCAGCTTGTACCAGAGTCACTGGCAGTTTTCCAGGCTTTCTAGCAGTGAATTCCCTACTGTTATATGCATCTTGGTCCATTCTGGTTTTATTACTGTATATTTGCTTGCTCTCCTGTTACATTTCTTGAGTCACGGTTTGTAGAAGATTCAACTA